TCTCTGGGTCACCAGGAGGGTGTCAACTCCACAAGGCAGTCCCTCCCAGGTGCCTTTGGAGTCGTCAAGACCTCCTTCCCCATCAGCCTTGCAGACCCTCAGCAGAGACTCACAGATAACACGGGGGCGTCTTCCAGGAGGGTGCACCCCTGGGCCACACCCTCACTGAGCCCCAGGAAGGAAGGGGCATCCAGAACTTGGCTCTGCGTCTGTTCCAACAGCAGATCCGGGTTGGAAGTAGGTGGAGGTGGCCCTGCAAACCTTACCATTTGGCTCCCCTGGGCTGAGCACTGGGGCGGGAGTGGACGTGCTCAGCGCCTGGGAGATGCAGCTCGGTGGCCGGGGCCGTGGTTGGGGCCCTGGCGGGAGCTGTCAGAACCTTACTCATAGCTGAGCCCAAGTCATAGAAACAGTTCACCTGCCCCACTGACTCTCCCTCCCCTGGCCGCGCTCCCCAGGCCCCGCTCCCGGGCCCGTTGCTGTGACCTTGTTTCTTTGGACGTTCTAACACAAGCCGAAATGGATATTAGCTGTAATTACTCATTCCACACGCTTCTGTAGGCCGCTCTTTGTACCGGAGTTGAGAACCTTCATTGTCCACATTGCTTAAATTACTGAACATTGTGCCATCCATTCTGAATTAGTGCTCATTAATGAGCTGGTGGTTCTAGAAACTCCCTATTTATTATTCAGAGGCCAAGTATAATCCAAGCAGCTGCACTACAACCCAACTCATGTGACTTTTGATCTGTCATGGAAAGAAATGGGCGGGGGGTGGGGGCACCACAACCCCACATGGATCCACTCTTTTTGTTTTCCTGCCCAAAGGTGTTTCGGAGACGGAAGTCATCGTTGAGTCCCCTGGTTTTTAAATGGCATTTTTGCTTTGAAACAAAATATATATGATTGAGGGGGAGGGTCTTCTCCCCACCTCCCACAGTGGCCAGTGATGGGGCTTGGTGTTTCTGAACCTTGTTCCCAGGATAATAATCCTCTGGCAAAAAAAAAAAAAAAAAAAACCTTCCTTCCCTGCCTGATTCTCACTGGCTCCTTTGTTCCTTTTGTCCCCAAATTAAAGAATCAAAAAGGCTAATCCTGACAGTAAGACTCTAGAAACCAAAATAGGTAAAAACAAAGCAAAAATTAAGGGTGAAACAGATCATTTTAAAGGGTCTCATCCCAAAAGAGAAGTCAGAATTAAATTTTTTTTTTAAGCCTCCAGAATGAGAAGATGAAAATCAGGAGCCGACACTTCCTTTCTCGCATTGTTGCATGGTAATCCGAGACAGGCTTGCCCAGGGTCCAGGCTGCGTAGCTGCCCATCCTTAGCCTGCCTACGGCATCAGCATTTCTCATTGGAGGGCTGCTCGCCTGGGAGGGGAGGGAGCACTGGCTCCGAGTCTGACATTGACGTCCTTGCAAGGACATTCTGCCAGGGTGCGACAGGTCACCACCAAATGGATTGCTCCCCAGTGGGCCGGACTCCAGTCACACTGTCAGGTAAACACAGACATATTCTGTCTTCGCCTGCCAAGCCTTGTCAAGTGTCTGTATTTGTTATTGCATCTTGGGTCCCACAAGGTTCCCCCCACATCTCTTTATAGAGGAAATATAAACCATATGCTTCTGCCTTATTTCCACTGACTGTATCCAAATACTGTTTGGGGCCAGGCGTAGTCTTCTGCCATGAGTCTTCTCAGCCGAGTGTATCAGCCCTGAACACTTCTTTTTTCTTTTTTCTCTCTCCTTATTTTGCCATAACTTAAGTGGATTTGACTTTCTGGTGTAAATACAGGAGTCTTCGATAGTTCCTGAAATGAAGAAGTAGGTTCTGATTGTCCCGATTTGTCTTCAGTATTGGTTTTTAAGAAACGTGGGCCTGTGGCATCAGAAAAATAACATTGGTGTCTCATCACCAATCGCAGCACTCTTTTCTATTGTACCTCGGAATCCTGAACACAACACTCCTGATGGCCTTTAGGAATTCGTAGGCATCACCATTTGCCATGACACATTTAAAAATGTGAGAAATGCATTTTTGAAGACATGGGTAGGTACTGAGTTTGGCCAACGTCCTTTTAGGGGAGGGCAGATGTCTCCAAGGGACACAAAGCTCTGAGACACAGAGACACCGGAAAGCGCCCCAGTTAAAATGCAAGCTGGAGTCCAGCCCCAGCAGGGAGCAGACTAGAAGAGGTGCAGCCTGGGTAATGTGGAGCGCCCCCGAGCTTCCCAGTCGCACATTCTTTGAAGAAGTAGGCAGTGCCTTTAACTTCCCACTGTAATCCCATGCCAGGCTCTGAAGCTATCTAAGCCCCGCTATTTATCCGCCTGGTGAGGCACAACACTTACTTATTAAAAACATATCTATCATGGTTAATGACTTGATTTTCCCTTTAATACAGTACAATGACAGGTGTAAAGGGAAGATGAGAGTCAGCTGCTGTTGTAATATGCTCCATGCTCTGAGATGCAGAAGCTGTCAGCCTCGCTCCACGTGCTGGGAGGAGGGGACGCCCCCCTCCCTCGCCCGACCGGCGTCCCCAAATCACACATACACACACACACACACACACACACACACAGATTACACGCTTGTGTTGGATGGGAAATCTTGCCATTTGCAGTTTCAGATAAAAGCATGTTTGAGTGCATATGGAAAGTACCATTAGGAACAACTCGGAGTGCGGAGTAAAATGGGTCATTAGGCTTTTGTTTGTTGGAGAGTGTCTCCCATCTGACAGTGCCGAATGGTACCACTTTCTGCAGCTTATGTTCCCAGTTACATTAAACAGACAAACAGATTGACTATTTTGCATTTCTCATCCGACAACAGCTTGTCTTCATTTGCCGCACACTGGTGGCAGCGTTGACAGCGTGGTGGATTACTGTAGCCAAGGTCCTGGTTTTGAATAACAGCAGATGCCAACATTTAACTTCAAAATCAATCAATTCTTTTTCCTGAGTATGGATAAAAGGTCTAGTCGAGCGCCCGAAGGGGGATTTCTGCTGTTTACAGCTGAAAACATAGAGGCCACATTCATTACCAAAGTTTCTGCAAGAAATAACAAATGTGGGTAGTTTATGGAGGGAAGCGATCGGGAGAAGTGCATTCTCCTGGAAGGGGAGAGCCCAGCACGGCCTGAGACCAGGCAACTGGATGTGAGCATGCGGCTCTAGGGCTTCTGGCCCAAGGTTATTAGTATGCAATGTCAGAAAAGAGAGTCATTTTCCCATTGACCACTTTTCTCAGTAGCCTGTGGCCCGTGGGTTACTTGAAAGCTTTCTCCAAGGGGGAGACAGTCCAGGAGGCCACTGCTCACTAGAAACTAGAGAACCAGCAGCCTGGGGTGCAGTCAGACTGAATGCAGCCCAGGGTGGCCACATCCCCAACTGGCTAGCCCCGGCTTCGGAGGCCCCTCCATGATGAGGCTCCAAGTCATTCTCAATGGTGTGCCCCCCCCACCACTTCCCGCTGGTATCAGAGGCTCGATTCCAGCCCTGGCCTGGACCATCATGGCAGCCAGGTGCGGGAAGGTACACCCAGGTGGTGCACAGGCAGGAGATGGGTCCTCTGGAAGACCTGGGCCATCTAAGTTCGGCTCTCAGGCTGTGCTGATCTGTGAGGCAGAGACACAGTGGTGCAGAGCCAGGGAGTTACTTAGGACAAGCTGTCTCTCACTCTCGGCAGCGTCCTTCGAGTGTGTGAGACCTTTAAAGTCACTTGACATCTTTGAGCCAGTTTCCTCACCCCTATTATCGGAGTAAGAGTGTAGTTTCCACTTCACAGGGTCGTCATGGGACTTAAATAAGACCAAGGGTACAAAGCCATTTTACCTGGCTCACAGGAGGAGCTCAGTGGTGGTTGTGTATATACACACAAGTGTGTATAAGTGCATTATATATGTTACATATGTGTTCATATAGCATAAATGATAAAATGCACAAAAATTAAATGAATGGGCAAAACGAAAATACATGCGTAAGTATTACGTGTGCACACACACAGCACCACTGTGGTACCACTCCCGGGGCCCTCCCGGGAGACAGGAATTGGACATCCCTCCTTCCCTCCTAGGCCTTCTCCAGCTTTGTCATATAAAGATGAAGTCCCTTGACTGGGAGAACCTGCACCCCCTTAAATGTCAGGACACTGCTGAGCTCCTGACTCACACCACCGAGGATTACCTGTAATCCTCAACACCAGCCGGCAGTCCATGGTGCTGTCCTGGTGATCTCACTGTCCTGGGTCTTGATGTCCCCGAGTGGGCTGATGAGCATTCACATCCCAGGTTCTTCCCATAGCTCAGTCCTCCCCGGGTGTCCCCTGGGCAGTCGGAAAAGCAGGTCAAGTCAGGTTCAGGACAGACCTCTGGAGCACCCTGCTTGCTCCTTACATCAGCGGAGATGCTGTGTGGGCCTCCTGTCCTGGGCCTCCAGTCCTGGGCCTCCTCCTGCAGCTGCAGGCTGCTTTTCCCAGTGGACCAGCTCTGTCCCCTCCTGACACTCCCTTACCTGTGTCCTTACCTTTGCCCCCTTTGCTCTTTTCCTTCCTTTTTCACTTCTTGAGTTGACCACAAGCAAACCCCAAGGGCAGGCACTTTGAATCTCATCAAAACTTACCATTGACCCTGTAGCTTTATTTTTTAAAGTAAATTTTGTTGGCATGGAAAACAACAGCCTTCCTAATAGTCTCTTACAAACAAATCAGATACAAATCATTGCTCACATCTGCCCACTCCTTCCAAAAAAACAAACGACAACAAAAAAAGGGATCTCATAAAACTCTCGTAAAATTCATAGGACGATCTTAAGATTTGAGATAAGCCTCCTTTAAGATTGAAATCACTAACTTACAAGTAGTCAACGGTCAATATGTTATCTGTTTTTTAAATTTTTATTGCATACACGTATGTGGCTTAGGAACAATTAGACATTACACCTAGTACAAATGATAGCTCGCATGTATTAATATTTATTAATATTTGAATATTTATTAGTAGTGAAGCCTCCGTGACCAGACATGGTACACAGCCTTCATGCCACGAGCTATCCTGGGTGCTGAGAAGGAAGGGCCCAGTAGGCTCATCTACAAGGAGCCATGGGAGATGGACAATCCAAGCCCAGAGGACCATGGATCAGGACTCCCGGGTTCCCAGGAGTGAGAAATCTTAGGATGAGAGAGATGGCACTGAGTCAGAGCAGCTTAGCATGAAACAAAGAAAAAACACCTTCTAAAAATCATATTCAGCATCTACACGGGAGAGAGAGGTAGGAAAGGAGGCAAGCAACTTGGACCACGTGACCTGAATGCACTGGCCCGTGCAGAACCTGGCCGCAAGAACCCTTGCACAAGAAGAACCAAGGTCAAGGTGACTATGGGTCATAAAATCCCTGTGTGGGACGCTGGACTCAAAGTGGGTCCTTCCTGGGCCTCAGCTTTAGGTCTACAGAGCTCCCATCCACCCTTGGCGTGGGGTGGGGGCAGATCCCCAGAGACAACTCTTTAAAAACCCACCAGTTAATTGAGCTTCCTCCTTGGCCTCGGCCTCTGCCTTCTTTGTCCCCCTTCCTCCGGGCTCTTTGTGCCCCTGGCCTGGCATTTAGGACCTTTTGTTGGCTTAATAGAGACTGAAACCTGCTTAGGGCCTGGAGGTTGCTGTTTTAATTCAACAGTGGAAATTTCTTCTTTCTTTTTTTTTTTCTTTGTCTTTGTTTGTTTTTCTTCTCCTTTTTCTTCTTCTAAGCTGGTGGGACAATACGTTTGTAGGGCAGAAGCGGTGTGCGAGGGGCTCCCGGATCCTGAACAAAACCCTCATTAATGGGAGGTGGGATTTCCTGGTCACAGCTTTTAGCCAAAGGGCAAAGGTCACCCATTAACCAGCCTCCAGTCTAAACAGGGCTGTGTAAAATGACAGCCAGGGGAGGGAGAAAGAAGTCAAATATTTGCTCGACATTCTGGAGTCCACAGCAGGAGGCCAGAGCCAGGGCACCCCTCAGTGCCGCATGGGCAGGGGCCACTGCTCCCCCCGCTGCTGTGCCAGGAGCTCGAGTTGGTGAGGCAGGGGACTCAGGACTCGGCATATCACACTGTGTCCCCTCACCTGCCTTTGGGTCTCTGGCTCTGGGTGTCTGACTGTACTGAGGACGAAGCCAGAGCTTGTTGAGTGCTGGTACAGTTCCACTTACTCCCCTGTGTGAAAACTCTGAGGGGGGTCCCCTGGAAGCCCCCCCAAGCTGGAAAGATCCAACCAGTGGTGTGCCAGCTGCCCTCATGTCCCCTCTGCCCAGCCTCCACCCCAGCTCAGCCCCCAAGACCCCCCACCCCCGCCGTCACATGATCTTGACACTGGCTCTTTCCCTCCAAGAAGGAACCTTTGCCAGGTCTTTACGTGACAGCTCCTGCACCCCACATTTCACCACTTCCTAACCCAGACGGGAGAGCGAGGAGTCACCCCCGGAGCTGCCCTCCTCACCGCTCCCCCAAGTGGAGCTGAGCTTCAGAGGATATATTTGCTTCTTATATTCCTCAGATTAGGCAAAAAGGCTCCTGGAGTCTGTATCCTGGCACTGGACAAATAAAAGCCCCGGAGGAAGAAAAGGCTGGACCACTCAGGCCTCCAACACAGGGCTGCTTCTGCCCCACGGAACAGAGCAAACTGCGTGCTTTACGCACACAGGCCCATCCCCAGAACCCAGGAGGGTGTGGGCTGGGCCAGAGATGGCTGCTCCCTTCCCCAAACTTACCAGCCCCATAAGCTGCTTTTTCCTCAGCCACAAAAGCTTCTACCGGCAAAGAAGGGCTGGAATAGTATGTGATCATGCAAACCCAGGGTTCCCAGCCTCGGGCAAGGTGTCACTTTGCAGGGCCACCTGGCCCTCATTTCATCTCCTGTTGTTATTATCTTGAAATTCTTATAATTTTGAACAAAGAGCCCTGCTTTTTCACTTCTGAGCTGAACCTTACAAATGATATCCAGTCGTGACCTCAGCTGCACGTTAGGATTTCACCTCTGAAGGTTTTTAGAAAATAATAACTCCTGGGCCTTGTCCAAGAGGCAGGGTTGAACTGGGTGGGGCTCCCAGGTGACTGGTGTGCAGCCCTAGGTAGACGCCCTACTTTGTGTAACAACCCCGTGCACAGAAGGAGACGGGAAGGTGAGGAATGCATCTTGCTGCCTCCCAACATCCCCCAAAAGAGAAGCCGGAGACCCCGAAGTTTGTATTTCTGCAGAATGCATTTTGTTGTTGTTGTTGTTGTTGCTAAAGATGGAACCCAGGGAACTTGACCACTGAGCCACCAGTCAAGCCCTGGAGAGCTCCACTCTTACCTGTACCATAGCACTGGAGCCGCTGTGGTATAACAGTAACCTAAGGATGGCAATGGTGTCCTTTACTGATTGCTCACTATTGGCCCCACTGAGTCACACGGGCTTCACCTGTTTACCAAGGGGAAGCTGAAGTTCCAAGCAGTTCAATAGTCTGTCCAAAGAACCACAGTAGGTGTTCAGCAAATGCTGACTGGATTCTTCCGTGAAAGCTTTGGCCATGGTGATTTTTGCTATCTTCTTTGGGTGGAAAAACCAGGCTACTTTCAGTGCTGTCTAGAATAATGGCCAGCCAGGAGGCTGGGGATACAGCCCAGCTGGTAGAGCGTTTGCCTCACATGTACAAAGCCCTGAGTTCAATCCCCAGCACTACAAATTAATCAATCAATCAATTAATTAATAAAAATATCTGGAATGTAGCTGAGTAGTAAAACATTTCTGGGTTTAGTCCCCCAAAAATACCAAAATAGGAGTTGTTGTTTTTTTTTGTTTGTTTGTTTGTTTTTTAAATTGCCAGCCAGGCGCATGGGGTGATGCATGCCTGTAATCCCAGCAACCCTGGAGGCTGAGGCAGGAGGATCACAGGTTCAAAGCCAGCCTCAACAATAGCAAGGTGCCAAACAACCCTGTGAGACCCCTGTCTCTAAGTAAAATACAAAAATGGGCTGGGGATGAGGCTCAGTGGTTGAGTGCCCCTGGGTTCAATCCCCGATACAAAAAGGAGGGGGAGGAGAAGGAGGAGAAGTGCCAAGTGAAATTCCCTCCCATGTGCTTTTTCCCGTCGTCTTTCTGGATCCCAGGTATTACCCTACGATATTCTGATGATCCTGAGTTAAATTATGGAGAGGCACCTCATGACAGGGGTAATAACATGATCCAGACCGCATTCCCATAGATACTATCCTGGAAAACTGGGTGGTTGGGAGCGAGAAATGACCGCGAAAAACAGATCCCTCAACCAGATACAGAGGAGGACGCCACCCAGCAGCACCCACTGCAGGTTCCCCGCCACGGGCCGGCAGCTCTCTCCTGCAGAGGGCTTTTGCTTTTCCCATAAGGCAAAGCTGCATGCCCGCACAGAGGAGGGTCTGCTCGCCGGGACATGGAGAGCAGAGATGCCAACTCAGAAAAACCCAGGAGGGAAAACGGAACCTTCTCCGTCTCCTGGAAGTACAGGGGGATAATAGGTGGCCTGGCAAGAAACCGAGCCGCATGCTCCCAGTAATCCACGTGTCTGCTGGGCAGGGCCCTCCCTGGGTCCTGAGGATTCGGCTTCCCTTGACCCTGGGGCAGGGAGGAGCCAGAGCAAGGCCATAATTGAGTCCAAAGGCTTCAAGAGCTGGGAAGGAAAAACAAAATAAAAATCATGAGTCTTTGAGACAAAAAGCAAATACAGTGTAATTGAGAAACTGCTGAGATGCCTGCTTATGAGCCGTTTTTTAAATAGGTGAATCCTTCCTACCTGTATAGGATTTCTAAGCTTTCGTGATATCCCTGGATTCTTGTCTGCATGATCAGATTCTTGAAGTTAACTGTGTTAGGTGCTTATTTTGTATGCAAGACTTTATCTAACTCTGTGGTGATGCTGCGAGGAAGAATTGCTATGATCCCATTTGACAGTTGAGGCTAAGGAAAATCAAGTTAGGTGATGCTAGAATCAGCTCTAGACCTTCTTTTGACATTCCACAGCCATTTGCCCACTCGGAGAGTGAAGTGGGGGTATTGGGGCAACCAACCCCCACTGACTTAAGGAAGGTCTGGACCACAGACCCAGGGAGGCGAGGAGGTGTGGATGTCAGGAAGTTCAAACGGCATCAGAACACAGACATGGCAGGTGGATTGTCCCAGAGAGCCTGGGCAAGGAGCGTGGCTTCAGTTTCTCATCTGTGAAATGGGCACGTCAACAGTCCCCAGGCCAGGAGTTGTTGGGAACGTTAAAAGAGGAGAAATGTTAGGACCGTGCATGCCCTGGAAGAAGACCCAGTGAGCTCAGTGGCAGAACATCTGCCTAGCATGCATAAGGCTCTGGCTTCTGTCCTCAGAACCACAACCAGTCAATAAAAGGTAAATATTCAAGTATATTAAAAAAAAATAAGTCTCCAGTAAAGAGTCTACCCCACCCAGTGCCATTCCTGGTTCTACTGTTCTTCCAGCACAGCGGGTGTGGTAGGCCCTGCGGGCCTTGGGCTTGGGCCTCTTGTGTGTCCAGAGCTTCAAAGGCTCCTTTTGGAAACACAGCGTGAGTTATGAAACTCCTAGGACGTGATGGTTTCAAATCTCCAGCCCAGTGATGGTGTTTTTCTTATTTATAAAGATATTCCTTTATACCCCCAACAGAATGCATTAGGAGAGAATCCCTTCTGCTGCATGGGGCTATCATGCTACCAGCAGCTACCAGCAGACTCCTGACTTGATGAAGTGGGAAGTCACCTCTTGTCAAGTAGAGAACCACCAGCATCTTGGCCTGAAGATGGCAACTGGTGGAAAAGAGAAAAAATATCCCTCTCCCCACCTCCATCATTTCACACCTAGAACTCCAGCTGAAGAGCTCAGCTCCTCTTCTAGCTTAAACATGATTTAGTCCCTGTCAGGTTTAGTGGTGTGCACTGCTGGATAGGGTTGGCCCCGCCGACTACAGTAGACTTTGGATCTAGATAAACTGGGATCCAACTCCTGCTCCATCTGTATCTAGTATGATAGGGGTGAATCCCTTAAGCTCTCTGGGGCTAAGTTCCTCTGTAAAATGTTAAGAATATTTACTTGAAAGCATCAAGGCCAGGATAGAACGAGGCTCCAGTCCTTGATAACATCACACCTACCTAAATATTTCCAGGGACTGTGGTGCAGTCGTGATGGGTCTCCAAACCTCTTCAAATGGGCTTCGCAACCAGGACCAGGGGGCACCTGAGCCAACTTCCGGGGTCTGCAGTTGGAGGAAGTGGCTGCCCAAGGTAGCTTACGCTTGCTCTTAAGCAAACGTGGCAAGGACATTCTCCTACAGTGGGGGATGACAAATGAGCCCCAAGGATCAGAAACAGGAGTGGTTCACCTCCCGACAGACGGTGACGGCCAGTTTCCCAGTGCGTTCTTTTCTCAGGGAGAAAGGGTGGGGATACAAGTGTCTAGGGGGGATGTCAAGAACAGTTCTCACGAGTGATTGTGTGACTCAGGAGCTCTTGGCGTTCAAAGAAGGATCCTGACGTTATCTCCAAAGGAGCTGAAATGTCACTTCGTCCCAGGACTCAAGTCCCTGCAGAATTACCTAAGAATGTTGGAGCCCAGCCGCAGGCCCTATAGATCCCCAGGTAGATTG